CTAATGCCCTTCCACGTAGCCCTCAAATTATTGCTGTTAGAAGAAAAATAATTGGAATAATGTTTTTTTTTGCTGCGTCGAATACAAGCAAATTTCTATAGGTTTTGTAAGTTTTTTTAAGATTTCGTTAAATAATTAGATTTTTTGTTTTCAGAAAGTTTTTAAATATCATATTACGTTTTTTTATTGAGGTCAAGATTGCTGGAGTAATCCATGGTTTAAGGCTCCGAGTTAAGCCACGATTACTTAGTTTTTTTAGTGGTGCGTGTTTGTCTAAAGGAGAGTTAAAGCTACGGAAAAAGTCTTCATATAATTTGTTTGTATTACCATTAAAAAAATTAATTTCTTTATCCCAGTTTATCTGTAAGAAATCGTTTTTGAATCGACTACTGTCAAGTTTCTTGAAGTTTCAAAGGAAAATATTGCTTTTACGAAAAGAATTTTTTTTTCGCTTTTAAAAGATGGATAGATTAAAAACTGTGGCAAATGATCCGATATTCTAATAGTTAGATTGCCGGAGAAAATATCTTTAGAAATTGAATTAGAAAATATATTATCAATTAAAGTTCTTGAGTGATTTGTGATTCTTGTCGGTAAGGATATAAAAGGAAGAAAGTTGTTAGAGGCAATGGTGTTTAAATACTCCGCAATGGAACTATCTGAGTTTGCTTTAATAAGATGTGTATTAAAGTCACCCATTAAAAAGATGGTTTTATTCTTTTCAAGGGAAATTTTTTCAAATAAAACAGCTAGATATGAAAAATTAAACTCATCAATATCCATATTAGGATGGCGATAAATACATCCTACTATGATATTAGACTTTTTAGGGAAGATGTATTCAACAAACACTGACTCTAGGAGTTGGGGTTTTTGCATAAGTAAATCATTTCTAGGTTTATAAATTAGTTTTACAGAAATACAAATTAAAGCTCCTCCAAATGATGCTTCGGTTGGAGTATGTTCATAAACATATCCATTAAGATTTATAGAAGCTGTCGGTAGTAGATCATATTTCAGCGAAGGCGAAGCTCATTATCCGATATAGAACAAAAAGGAAAGATACTAATGTGGCATGTTATGCAAAGCCAAAAATTGATGGAAGAGTTTATTGATGATCTAAAATCAATTTTATCCAGAGAACATTTATTATGGAATGAATTTAAACAGTGTTTACATTGAAACGAAAGATGATTAGTACAAATATGTTTATTACAAATTTTACAAAGTTGAGACATTATAGCAGAAATTAGTTTATAAAGTAAGCTATAGATATAAATAAGATTATTAGTAACTTAAACAACAATAAAATAGCAGTAGAGAATATACTAAAATATAAAAATGACGATAATTAAGATAATAATATTGGCAATACGAATACTAATAAATACTAATAATTTAATAATGAATACAAGAATAATAATAATCACGACAATAATAACAATAAAGACAGTAATATAAATAACAGCAGCAGCCATATGTAATAAAAATAAAAATATAATACTGTAATTATAATCAAAGCTCAATAATAAAAAGTACGATAATAAAACTAATAATAAAATAATTTATAATATGTATAAGAAAAAAATGTATCGGTAAAAAAAAGAAAAGGAAACGAATAAGCTAAAAAAGAAAAAAAGAAAAAAAAGTTAAAGTAAATATAATACAATTTCAAATATCAGACTTTCAGACTTTCTTTCATACGTGATTTTTTCTTTTAAATGATTTTAAAAGTTAATAACAAAAAAAGTTCTTTTTAAAAATTCGAATTTCTTTAATACTTTTTGCTTCTTTATAGTAGGTATTACTCTCAGTTTCTAGTTTGGATCAACAACTACCTTTATTATCTGGAGATTTGTCCTTATCAAATAAAGAAATATAAACAGAGAACATAAAAAAAAAAAGTTTAAAGAATCTATAGTTAATAGACAAACAATCAAGCTTACAATTTTGTGTAAGAATCCAAACAAAATACCTTTAAAAAACAAAATGAAATATTTTTAATAGGTTGAAATCTAAAGAGTTTTACTTTCACTTTCAATATCATTCTCAGAATAACAATTTTTTTCTATTTTAAAAACAAACAAAAATGATGGAAGGAACAAAGTCAAGAGTATTTGCTATATAAAGCAGTTATGTCATATTTTCAAAAAATTATTTTTTTATTTGACTACTTTTTAAGTGTATAAATAAGCTTTAGATTAGAAAGTGAAAAGTAAACATCAAAAAGACATTAATGAATTGCGAATGCCAAAAAAAAAATTATAAACAAAAACAAACGCAAAAATCATATTAAAAAACGGCAAATTGAAAAAAAGCTAAATATACATAATTTATAAATACATTTCCTAAGTATTTCCTAAGTATCAATTCTTTAAGAAATCATAAATAAATACTTGATTTAGATGAAGGAAAGGCAATACTTGTCTTTTCCACCTGGACCTTTTTGAAAAAAGTTTTTTTTTCCAAAAAAAACTAACAATAAACTTTTATAACACTGAAAACTAAACAAATATGAGCAAATATAAAAAAGGTCCACATTCCATTAAATTCCTCATCCTTTTTTTTATGGAAAATTTCATGCAAATTGGATGTGTTTTGGTACATAGGAATCCTTACCTGAAAAAGTTTCGTTTAAAAAAACGTTCCCACAGCTAGTTTTTTTTATCAAAAATGGTCTCAGGATATTGATAATATTTACGTGAAACCATATAAAACATAGTACTTTCTACATATGGCTGGAAAGAAGTTGAGTAACACTAATTGATACAAAAACCCTCAAGGTGATTGTTTAACCCTACAAAAAGATATAAGAGAGTAAAGTTTATGAAAAATCGGCATTTTTCGTCAAACGTCAAATGTTTTTTGAAGCGTCGTGGAATCGCTACTGATGGTTCTATCTAAATGGTGGAACTTTAATAGCTTCCATTGCAAAACAATAGCAAAATATTATTATTATTATTATTATTATATATATATATATATATATATATATATATATATATATATATATATATATATATATATATATATATATATATATATATATATATATATATGTATATATATATATATATATATATATATATATATATATATATATATATATATATATATATATATATATATATATATATATATATATATATATATATATATTAATATAATGATTTGGTGATTTGGTAATTTGATCCATATTTAAACATTCTACCAAACTAATTGCTATAGTACCATAATAACAATAGTAATAATAATTACCATAGTACCATAAATACTATAAATAAATACCAAATGAACAACCAAACATTTTCAAAACAACTTGATTTAGAGAATTCAATTGTACAACATATTTCTTTTAATAACTGTATAACTTTATTATTACAACTGCTTTTATAACTTATTCTTAAAAACAAGTTCTTAAAAAAAATTTCTTAAAAACTATTCTTTTTCAATTCGTCAAAGTTTGTATAATAATAATTCCATCAAATTCCAAGCTTTTTTATTAACAAATTCGGCGTGGATGATCCAGAATAAGGTTTATAGTTTGAACGCATGCGTAATAGAAACTCAAACCGTTCTAGGTCTGCGTTTTTTTGAAAATTTAAAATCTGATTTTGAATCATCCTAAAAAACGCTGACCACAAAAAATACTTTAACTGCTTAAAAAGATATATTTACGAAGCTTTAAGATATTTTATTGGATAGACGAGACCTACTTTTTTTGACGTCGAATCTAATAAAAAATATTTCCACATATTGCAAAGATCCCTATTGTTTTTCCATTGTTGTCCAAACAATTCCGTAACACGCATATCTTTTTTTTTTAAACAATGCGTTGAACGTCCATCTTATTTTACGTCCTTGCATCAACTAAAGTCAAACTATATTGAAACAATCGAAATCAAATATCTTGTTGCGCAATCCGAAATAGACACATTGTCCCCAGATTGAAATTTTTGCATTCAGTGAATAGTTTGACATGATCCATTTAGTTAGAGGGGTTATCTTTCCTCGTAAGATAAAATAACCAAGAATCGTGAAATAAAATAATTACTCGTGAGATAAAATAGCTAAGAAGTATAAGATAAAATTACTTGTGAGAAAAAATAACTAAGAATCGTGTTATAAAATAAATACTCGTGAAATAAAATAACTAAGAATCCTCAGATAAAACAATCACTCTTTTTTTATTTTTATCTAGATGCCCCAAGAAGACCTAACGGTCTTGTCACAAAGCACCGTGGAAGTACGTTTAATCCGGACGTTCACGCCTCCTTCCTTACCGTGACACGAAAATATGACCAAAGCTCGTTTTGAGCCTAGATTATTACTCGTGTATTAAAGTTGAATAAATGAGATAAAAAAACTAAAAATAGTTAAATAAAATATCTATTTGTGAGATAAAAAAAAACTACTTGTTGTTTAAACTCGATTCTTTATTACTTAAACTTTATTTTTTTTGGCAACCCTCGCTACTGAGATTATCCATGCCTAATGAAATAAATATTTTACTTATTTAAATAAATTTAATAGATAACAAATATTTGACAATTTAAGGCAAAAGAACAGAATGAGAAAACGTTCGGTAAAAAAGTTTATCTTAGATAATCTAGTCTGTTTGCGATTATCAAGACAATATTTGTGATACAAGATTTTGATATTTAGTTCCATTTCTGCAAAGTCTAATGTTTGTTTTTAATACTTGTCTTTATTTATATTTAAATAAGTCAAGCTGGCGCTGTTATTGTTTATACTAATTCACAACTCTTTATTTTAACTCCAATTAAAAATGCTAAACAAAAGTTTAATTTTTTTTTATTATTACTATTTACTTTTAGGTTAAGAATTTAAATTTTCCTAAAATAACAAAATTTTAATTTTTTACAATTTTTAATAAAAATAACTAAAAAAAAGTATTAATAAAAGGTTTTAAAATCTTAAATGAATTCATTAACTAAGTAAAACAACAAACGAAGATTCTCAATCCCATTCTTCCTAATCAAATAAATGGAAAGCTAAATAAGACGTTTGTTTTGTAGAGAGAAAATCAGACAAATATTCGTAAACGTCGAAGAACGTATAGTAAATACATAGGTTATAGTAAAAACATTAGTTAACGCAAACCTAACTTTTTTCAAAGTGAAAAAAACCAAAATGAAAACATTTTATTGCTTGCTTTTAATTCCAACTGGTGAGTGTTTCTTTTATTTAGGTTGATTCTACCATATTAACCAAAAGTTATTTCACTTTTAAATTCATTATGATTTTATCTTTATAGTGTTAAGCTTGCGATGCGCAAATCATTTTTCCTCTTACCCGGAACTAAATATAGAAAAGTTAGAAAAAGAGGCATCAATGATGAAAGGTTACTACGATATGGTAAAAGCCTCCGAAAATCTAAAAGCAGAATGCAATGTTTGCGTTTTTTTAAAATTTAGTAACTTGACAATAGATGGACTTCCTCGTTCTATAACAGTACAAAGTTGCATAGGCGCCTACATTGAATTGGTTTGCAATCCATCATTATGTGATACAATGAGATCTGGTAATATCGGTTGTGAGGTAAACAGTTTTTAACTTTGGAGTCATCATTAGGGTTCGTGGGCAGGATTGAAAAGTCTTGTTTTTCAAAAGGAATAACTTTTGTAAACTAAATCAAAAATTTAAAAAAAAATAAAAAACGTTTAGAAGGGGGAAAAAATACTTAACAAATTACCTATAAATATCTATTTATTTTTGAGAAAAGACATTGCTTGTAGAATTCTAAATTTTTAGTTTATGCGTTCAAAACTTGTGTCAACTTTTTTCTATTTTACTTAAATTTTATTGCTCTCTTTTTCACCTTTTTTTTTTTTTTTTTTTTGAATTTCCCATTTAGTTATAAAGGTCGTTTCTTTTAAAAAAAAGACTTTTTAATCCTGCACTCATGAAAAAATTATTATAAGAGAAGCTTTTAGATCGTTGTCTATTTTAAGCTGCAGTAGGGTCAAACCAAGAAAACATTTTGCAGCGGCGCTGATATAGTAATAATATTTAAAATAATAATAGTAATAATTATAAAAAAGTTAATTAATATTAGTACTCTCGAGTTCTTAAAACAAAAGAGGGGGAGGAAGGGAAAAAGATGAAGGGGGAATTTTAATCTAGATCGAATAAACGGGCGGTTTTAATAAAAATAGGGGGTGGGAACATTTTTATGTTACAATATAAGTATTTTTTAAAGAAAATTTTAGTTTATAAATCCAAGCAAACATTTTTTACCAAAACACGCATAAAGCTGTTTAATTTTAGCGTGGCACATTTTCTAACAGCTGTTTTATAACAGTCCAATAGGATTTTGACCCGTAAAAAAACGGGATTTTGTAAGTCTAAGCAAACTTTTCTATACCTTTTTCTCATATATCCTAGCTTTCCATATCCATATAATATGGGTCTTTGCCAAACCTACCAATTCTATACATATCTATTTCACATTGATTACTTCTATATCTATTCCTTATTTACTTCAATATTTTTTAGTAAAATAATTTATTCTGAAAAAAAACTTCAAGAGGGAAAAACTTAACACGCGGATCTTTTACGCATAGGTAGAGCTTATAAGTGAGTTGTAATTAAGTTTGTTTTTCTGCTAAATGCAATTTATTGATAGCTAGCTCAACAGTTTAGTTCGCTGTTATCAGTGTTGTTTCAGGGGGGTTTAAGACGAACCTTAGCTTAATAAATTTTGAAATTTTTTCATTCTTGCTTATATATTTATAGCAAAAAAATAATATTGCAAAAAAGATTTCTAAAATTTAAAATAAAATTTTCAAATTTTCTCATTTTATAGATATAATACACGCGATTATTCCGTATAATGCCTGCAAACTCAACATATGCCAAAGACATTTACACTCACAGACGTTTGTACGTAAAGGTTATACAAATGGAAATAAGAAGATCTTAGAACACTAAATCATAGTCATAAAAAAAAGTTCATTCTTATGATTATGAATAAAAACTAAAGACACAGCCTCAGCTATTAAACGCTAATCTAAAAGTTAAGCCAAAAAAATTTTGCGCATTGACGTCAGTTTGTGACAAAATAAACCTTTACGCGTCAAGTTTCCTTTTGCATTTATCTTACATTTTTTGATTAATTTTATTTATGTTGCATTCAATTTTGTCAGCATATTATGTCCGAACAAGATCTTTAAATGTTATAATTTTTTTTGCTAAAGGTTTTTATAATATTTAAAGTAACTTTTTTTTTTTTTTATATAACTTTTAAAACCTTTTTACTACCCGTAATACGTGAATCTAAAGAATACTATTTTGAAATCTTTAGATCAATTCTGCTTATCGGCGTTAATATCTTTTGAAAAAGTTCCTTAATTTATTATCAATCCTAGTTCTAATTGGTTCTGACGTATGTTAACAATATATAGTTGTCAAAACACAATATTTCTATCAATTTTCACAAAAAATACTAGAATTCCGACCAAAAAAGAGCTCATAACTATGGAAAGTTGCCAAAAAACGATCAGAACAGATCATATTGTTAAACTATAATGCTTATTTCACCTAAAAAACGTGTTAATATAAAATTTTATTTAAATTAGGAGGAGCAATTGTGATTTTAAGATGATTAAAAAAAAAAATCTCAGTCTGGGTGTTTTCGCTACAAACTTTTATATTTTATAATACCCTAAAATTTATCATTTATTATTTTTTGTCTTTTCATAATTCACATACCAGACGATTTAACGGAAATATGTCGTAGTCAACAAAATATTATAATGTCGCTATAATATTTAAAAGTGCCTTAACTACACCGAGAGAAAGGTAAACCTAAAATGGAAGTTTCAAATTTTCCACTTTGATGAGACAATATGTTTTGTGTTTTTTCAATATTATCAATTTTTTTAAATATAATAATATACATAGAAAAAATCAAAACCAAACAGCTTGTATAAAAAAGACTTGTAATTATTAGAAAAGTTTACTGATATTACATATGATTTTGAATAAAACGTTATATAACTGGATCTTTTATATTTTATAAGCAATCTACATAAACAAATAACATATTTGTTTATATATCGCGAGGTTAGAATTATTTTGCTCTATCTCCATGTTTTTCCGAACCGCGAAAATCAAGTTCAAAGTTTTAAATGGACCTGCAGACCAAATAACATAAAAAACGCAAACAAAACCGGTTTGTATTAATTTCTTATACAGGCTAACACAGTTTTGAAGAAATTTTATTAAAATATTTAAAGTGCAGGTGTCTGAATTACTACACCCTGATTTGGAGAACAATGTATTATACACTTATTTTATAAAATACAGTGTTATTTTGTTCTATCGTCATTCTCTGTTGAAAAATATAATACAAACTAGTATTTTTATATATATACTGCGGCAAGATGATTGTATATTTTAGCAATTAAAGTACTGTAAGGTACATATCTGCTTTATTAGAAAAAAAAAATCTTATTTTACACTAGTAAAAAAATAATATAAACACGTTGTTTTATCAAAACTTAAAACAAAACTGTTTACAAATTCAGTTTACAAACTTCAAACAAACGTTTATAATATATATTAAAATATAAGTTTATAAGTTATCATAATATAAGTTTATAAGCTATTATAATATAAGTTTATAAGCTATCATCATTTTATGAAAGAATTTTATGTAAAGGTAAAATATAATTTTATTAGAAACTTTAAAAAAATATAACATAACTTTGTGTCTGGACATAAATTTAGTGATCAAAAATTTTTTAATGAGGAACTACAAGAAAAAAACTAATCAACTGGAACGGAGATGACATGAAAAATGCTATTACAGCAGTAAAGTTCTAGCAGATGTCTTTAAGAAAAGCTTGTTAAAAATCTGGTGTCCAAAAAAATTCACTACATCGGCGTGTTAAATAGGCTTTAATTAAAGGTAGTTCACATACTAAGTTACTCGGAAGATTTAGAAAAGTGCTTTCTGATAATCAAGAACAAGATCTAAAAAAGTATATTAAAGATATGGAAAAATCATTTTATGTTCTCTCAATGATGGATATTAGATTGACAGTATTTGAATTCTGCAAAAAAAATTCAATACCAAATCCTTTCAACAAAGATAGTAAATTAACAGGAGAAGACTTTGTGCCAAGCTTTTTAAAACGCCATCTTGATTTATTACTAAGAAAATCAGAAGTAATTTCTATAAACTGAGTATTTGGTTTGAACGAAGATAATATTAGAATCTATTTAAGTAATTTAAAGAATTTGTAAGATAAATGTGATGAGACTGGGTTGTCTTTGAAAGGTTTATGCGTCCATAAACCTTTAAAAGTTTAAAATCTCATCTACGGGAGAACGGTGTGTTTCATCAGTAACAAGTGGGAAAAAAGGAGCCACAATAACAATTTTATGTGTGTGTAATTCTGTTGGTCATTATGCACCACCCATGATGATATTTAAGCGCAAAAAAAAAGAAGTTATTACTCACAGATAATGCTCCGGTTTGAACTATTCAAGGATGCTCAAAAAATGGCTGGGATTATACTGATTCATTTCTAGAATATATACAACGTTTTATTAAACATGTACAATGTACCTTGATCAAAAAAGTTTTACTTATACTTGAGGGTCATCGTTCTCATACCAAAAGCTTAAAATTTATAGACTTTGCTCATGACAATGGATTGTTTTTGCTATCGCTACCACCACACACAGCTCATAAACTTCAACCATTAGACCGTGGATTTTTTAGGCTTTTTAAAACCTTTTTAAATCAAGCATGTATGAGATGGATGCGAAACTATTCAGGAAGACAAGTTTAAGCAGAAAATCTTGGAGAAATTTTTAAGAAAGCATATTTAAAAGCTGCTAATATGGAAACTGCTACTTCAAGTTTTAGAGCAACTGGAGTTTTAGAGCAACTGGAGTTTTATAGCAACTAAAGTTTTAGAGCAAGTTTTAGAGCGATTGTCCTATTTAATCGGCATTTGTTAAAAAATGAATATCCATGGACATCTTTGAGTGGTAAAAATAAAATCAGGTTATCCATACCTCGTGAAATTCACTTTGAGCGCGATAACAAAAAAAGAAAGTGAAATTTTACAGCAGCCAGAGTCAACTACGTTAGAATTAATGAGTCATGATAAATTAAAGCTTATTGAAAGCTTTTCATAGAATACTGTTACTTCATCAAGTTCTTTCGAAGATATACTTCAAATTGCAAAACTTTATCCTCTTTATAACTTTAAAAGAAAATTACCTGAAAAATGTCAGATTATAACTAGTTCTCCATAAAGGAAAATAATTTTACTTGAAAAGAACAATGAGAGAAAAATATATGAAAAAAGAAAAGAACAATAAGAAAAAAAATTTACTGAAAAAGAACATTGACAATAAATCAAACTAAAGATATATAAAAAAGAACAAAACGAAAAGAAAATTAAAGAAACGCTTGATTGAAAAAGATGTAAACAATGAAGAGGAATGGTTATGAAGAGGAATGATTTTGTCCAGTTTGTCAAGGGAAATGATGCAATGGTACCCAAATTGACTGGATAGCTTGTTGTGTATGTGTTGTTTGGGTACACGAAGACTGCACATTAAACGATGTTTGCTTTTTATGTGAATAGATTTTATTCAAATTTGTTGACTAACATGAAACTTTGCTTATGCATTTTTTTTATTGATATTATTTTTTTAATTTCTATCACATTTTTAATTTAAAAGGAAAAATTATATTGTAAAATGATACAATTGCGTTTTTATTTACATTCTTATATTTTATCAGATCGAGTTTATCTAAGTCTGCTTTAATTTTACTAAAAATTATATTTTTACTTAGTATTTTTTTAAAATGAAATCTGTCTCACTTTGCCCCAGGTTTTGGGGAAAGCGAGACAGGGTAGTTGTTGCCATTTTGAATTTAATTATATACCAATGCAACAACCTATCATCACAAATATTTAAGAATCGTTAGACGCATAATGTGCTAGTGGCCTGCAAAATTTCTTGTTGTGAAACCTGATTCTTCTCAAGTTATGAACATTTTTTTTTTTTTTTTTTTTCAGTTTACATTATTTACATGTCGTGATTTCCATGTAATATAAACATATAAACTTGAAATCAGGAAGAAGATCATATCGATCTTGTCGCCAGAACCATATAAAAATTACAATATAAATATAATATAGTATAATACAGGTAGTTTATAACAAAATAAGAATCCAAAACATTTGAAATAAGAAATGGTTAAAATAACATCTCAAAAATATTTCAATATATTATCCGTAGAAAAAATAATATTCATTTCATAACATTCTCCCTGAAAGTTTCTGGCTTTGCCCCAGGTTACCCTAAGTTAATTTTTTTTTAACTGATTTGTTTGTAAAAAATATTCAGTATCAAATATTTTATCCATGAAAAGAAAAAAAAATTGATTTAACTCAATTTTTTTGATTTGTTGAGATTTTTAAATTCTCATCTCGCGATATATTGTTTACATAGGAATGGTTAAGCACCAAACCTGCTTAAACAACAAAGTTGAAAAAAGATTAGTTTATATATATATGATGGTGAGAAACACAAAATACTAACAGTTCTATTTGTGTTAATAAATCCTTGTGTAATAAATATATAGGGGAAAGGCGCCTATGATGGCATACTTAACTTTGAAGCTTCATTATTCAGTATCCTGAAGACCAATAATAAAAGTTTTGATATGGATATATTCCTTGTTGCAAGTGGAACAACAATAACTCTCGAATTATTTTACCAATTCTGTTTTTTTTATAAGTTATTCCTATTTAATAAAATAGCATAAGTATGCCATCATAGGCAAATATTCTCCTA